TTTTGTCTTGAGACAGAGTCTTGCACTGTCCCCTGGGCTAGAGTGCAATGGCATGATCTTGGCTCACTGCAACCTCTGCCTCCCAGGTTCAAGCGATTCTTCTGCCTCAGCCTCTTGAGTAGCTGGGACTACAGGTGCACACCACCACGCCTGGCTAATTTTTGTATTTTTAGTAGAGACAAGGTTTCACCATACTGGCCAGGCTGGTGTCGAACTCCTGACCTCGTGATCTGCCTGCCTCGGCCTCCCAAAGTGCTGGGATTACAGGCGTGAGCCATCACACCCAGCGGATATGTACTTTTCTAATATGTATGTTGTAATTTAATAAAAAGTTGATGATCTACACCCTGGTACATATGTGACCTGGAGAGGAGACTGATGGACAACTTGAGTGCCCAGCAGATCTGTGTGCAGGACGCGAGCCTACCTCTAGGCACCTGGACCAGCTGCATGTATGCCTTGTACAGGTTCCCCCGGCAGACTGGGCTGAGGTCATTCAGCAGGAAGGACAGGGCAAGGACGATGTCGTGCTCTAGAAAGGCGTATCTAGGGAAGGGAGGGTGGATAGTGACATAAGTGAGACCATGCCCTGAGAGGCTCAAATAAGAAGGATCAGGGTCCCTGCTGGAATCTGATCCATGCTATCTGGGGTAGACCACATTCCTCTGGCTTTCTGGGAGCAGAGAAAGGCTACAGGTGCATGACCCATCTCACCTGAACCTCCAGGGGAGCGAGCTCAGCAGGCCCAGCCCACCTTGGCCCCTTGTTCTTCTGGTCTCCCTTGCCACCACATCTATGTACACCAGTTATGCTTGTCATTATCATTATGCAAGTTCAGTAAATATTAGGCAAGTCAATTAGTTGCGAAGAGTTTTCTTTTTCAAATTTTCTTATGAGAAAAAGTTGAATGCTTTGAAAGGACTCAAAATTGAGCCTCAAAAAAAAAAAAAAAATGAGATGATTGGCCAGGCGCAGTGGCTCACACTTGTAATCCCAGCACCTTGGGAGGCCGAGGTAGATAGATCACTTGAGGTCAGGAGTTCGAGACCAGCCTGGTTAACATGGCAAAACCCCATCTCTACTAAAAATACAAAAAA